TCTCCTACACTTGCGTAGCTGGCGGTTAAAGCGATTAAGCAAGGAAGCCGTGAAAACGAGCGGTGAAGCCATGACGAGCCTGAGGTATAGAGAAATGAGAAAATCTCCCCGAGGGGAACATTGAGGGTCGGGGAGAAACAAAACTCTTTGTTTCCCGTGGGGCATTTTTGTTACACCTCCCAACTCAAAACTAGAACAAACTACAAAAAAATTATTTGCCTGACGCCAGCTGGTAAACAAATTTGCCGCAGTTTCAAGGTGCACGACCTGATCACGTGCGAGTCGAAAGTTGAAGTTGTCGTTCTCCTCCAATCGAAAACGTACCGTAGAAATCCGAAAGTAACGGCCCTCCCGAAAATAACGGTTCCCCGAAAGTAACGTTAATTTTTCCATTCCCACTGAACCCCGAAAGTAACGGTCCCTTGAAAGTAACCGCCCACCCGAAAGTAGCGGTCTTTTGAAGAAGTCACTAAAAGAGAAACACTCTGTTGTCAAATGCAATGCAGATGGAACAGCCTGACTGCAGGACTGACTGAACAACTTGAAAAGTTATTTGTGATTTTATTTCGAACTGAAGTTTTCTTGAACTATGATTTATAAGCTAAGCTGTATTTGTCTAGCAACAGAGTCAAATGATGCACTGTAGTGTAATCAGCTGAACTACGATATATTGCGACCATTATACTTTCGGCCTACGGTACCAACTTTTAGAGCTTTTTTTGTTGATACAGTCTGCTTTGGTCATGTGGGTACTTTAGGAACATATATGAACGGAACTTTTAATTTCAAGTGTTACGCGTCCGCTTTGCCTGAAACGACTGTTACCGTACAAACGTTTTTTAACCTTCCGAAAGTTCCGGCTACCAGTAAGCAACGGCTACCCGAAAGTAGCAGCCCCTTTTGCCTGCTAAATCCGAAAGTAACGAGGGCCGTTACTTTCGGAATTCTATGGTATTTGAGTTGTAACGACATTTTTGAACGAGTAGCACTGGAGACGAAATAAGAAAGTACTGGGAACGAGATTGCTATTTTCGGTTTTTGTGATGTCACCATATTCGCGCCAGGCCTTCACCTTTTAGATGTTAAAGAGCTTAAAGCAATGACGGCGGCTACCCCAACGACAATGCCTAGTAAAGAACGACTTTATATTTTACCTTCGAATCTTGCATTTGCCTAGATCTGTTCAATGCGCCTATTGGTCTCAGAATGTATTCAATCTAACTATGTAACGCCAGCGTTCAATTCCAAATAAAACTACGAAAAATTAGCCACCGTCGTTCGCGTGCTCCACTACGCAGAACTTAGTCGTTTCACGTTGTTTTTGTCTAGAGGACGGCAGAGAAATGTATGTAGATTTATAACGCACGGGCACAGCGTTCTCGACCGTTGCCGTTGCCGCTTTGCTTAAGCTCTCTCTGGCAAACGCCTGACCACAAGACTGTTAATCACCTTCTGATCAGAATTGCTGATTCAAGGGTGTCCAAGAAAAACATACCATATCAATAGCACATGTTAATGAAATATACAGTGTGCAACTTTGCACGCTCCACAAGCCGGCCGCCGTTTAACACGCCGGTTGTACGTGCGACACGTTTATTGACTAGCCCATTGTTCCTCAGTTACATAACAATGTCGAAAATCCAAACATTAGCCTGTTTAAATCATCTCTAAAAGTCATCTCAAAGTTTTGATATTGCATTGTATATGAGCGTTCGTGACGAAACTTAACTTAACGCGCGCTTGTGGTAAAACGTTATCTCTGATTAAAATTGTGTATGGTTAAAAACGTGATCGTGTAGAACACATGAATGCAAGTCTGCACGCTTTAGCTAAACTCGATCACGTCTCGAACTCTGTACTAATTGTGGGAAACGACTGTGTTTTCCTTTAAATTTGCCTTACAACACAGATTCGTTCCACTCACGAATCAATTTGAAAAAACGCCAAAGCATCATTTTAAAATGATTTTTCTTCTGCGAGTGAAAAGTAGCGAGGGTCTGAAACACTAAACTGTGGCTTCGCTGAAGGATGTTCAGTTTAATGAAACATCTGTGAAGTTATGCACGTTTTCTTTTCTTTTTTTTTTTTTTTTTTTTTTTTTTTTCATTTGACCTGAAATAAAATGTCGGTATAGATTAATGACTATTTAGATATGTTTATTTATTTTTTTTTATTTTTTGGCTTTTAAACCCAAAAGGAAATAATTGACTGATGGACAGGGTCGTCTGGAAGGGCTGAAAAGGAACTGGCTGAGAGTGAAGAGGCCGAGGGGGGAATGGGGTTGATCTCTGAATCTTTTCACACAAACAGCTAACAGTATATGAAACAGCATTTAAAATTGTCCTTGGCTAACAGCGCTGGTAGCGAGGGAAGTTTCAGTTTCGATTTTTGAATTTAAAATAACAATGATTGAAGTTTCCCACTGTTGCGTTCATTTTGTGAATGTCTTTTGGAAAAATTCTTTGTCTACCTGAATGCCACGTACAGTCGAACCTCCCGTAAGCGACCACCCATGTCTCAGTCAGGCCATGTGTCGTTTAGTAGCGCCTTTGGTTAGGACATTATTCAAACAAAAAGCATTAATTATAGACATATAATCTGCTTCTGCGTGTGTTTCGTATATGCTAGCTTGTGCTCGAGCTTGAGCGCTTAAACGGTGCTAAAACGGCCATCTGATGGACATAATAGGGAAAGGTTGATGGACATCACGGTATATTCATTTCTTTTGTTTGTGTTCTCTGTGCCTCGCTATGAAGCTTAATTCTAACATCCTGTAATATAATGAAAGTAGCCTGTTCAACCACAACGCTGAATGTTCCAGAGCCGTAAGGAACTTGAAGTTTTTGCTCTGTACTTAAGACGTATCGAGTCGCGATCGACCGAGGTATGGCAGTAGCCGTTATTTCCGTTAAATGCCTGGCTTCGTTTGTCCTGATTGCCTTCTCGTTAGTCGCTGTGAGAGATGGCTGTACTTCCGGCGCTAATTGCAATCAGTCCCTCGACGAAATCTGTTCCAACAATGAATGTGTTCAAAGAACAAGCGGTTGTTGCTCTAAAGGTTTAGATTGTCTTGACAGTGAAAGCTGCTGTAATCACAAGTGCAAAGTAGACAGTGACGATGGAGATAACGGCAAAACAGTCATGATAGTACTGGGAGTAACTGGAGGAATCTTGTTCATCATCTGGGTAGCCTTCTGCATTCGCTATTATCGGAAGCGTCGCCTAAGGTACATACTAATAATAGAAGAAGAGAATAGGGAGATCACCGCACTGAGCAACTCAAACAACGCGGGACAACCACCGTCCTACCGACAAGGGTACTCGTCAGCTCCTCCTCCATATACCCTCCTTCCACAACAGCTTTAGAGGAAAGATCAGGGGGGCTGAGCTCTCGTCAACCTTCGTATGGTACTGTACAGAAAGCAGGATTCGTGTGAACTTAACGTATTAAAGGATTCAACATGCACAACTTGAAGTGATCATGGACAAGTTATGATAACCATTTTACATGTCATACGATCAGTATTAAAAAAATGATCTTTTACGTTTCAACAAAGTTACATTGGATGATGAGTATTTCTCGGGGGGTGCCTCCAATATTTTTAGGGGTTAAAAAAGCAGATTTGGTACCTCTCAGGGTGTTCAACCTCAAAAGGTTCACAGCGGGAACTTTTTGCGATACCTTTTCGTGTATTGAGCTGAAAAAAACTATGGTAGGAGATAATTTGTTGTTCTAGAATTGGTACCTCTTAGGGGAGGAAAATATTTCAAGCCACGCCCACCAAACAGGATCTTGGCTTGAAATTAGTCGCCGTCGCTCGCGTTCTCCAAAATGCACAGAACTCACGGTGCGTCCACACTAACGCCGGAGAAATTTGAAAAGGAGGTTTCAGTCTGAAAACGCATCAAATGTTTTTCGTCCGCGATCCATACTACGCCGGAGAAATTTGAAAACGCAACAATCACGTGCACAGCCATTGTTCTACTCATTAAACCTTCTCGTTGCCATTGCGGTCGTGGTGTGCTTTGCTTTCTATTGCAACGTCAAAGCGATGGTCAGCGAAAGCCTGAACACTAGATTGTTAATCACTTTCTGATCAGAATTGCTGATTCATGGGGTGTCCAAGGAAAACATACAATGTCAATAGCATATGTTAACTTAATTAATGAAATATACAGTGTGCCATTTTGCACGCTCCGCAGGCCGGTCGGCGTTTACCACGCCGGTTATACGTGCGACACGTTTATTGACTAGCCCATTGTTCCTTAGTTATATAACAATGTCAACAATCCAAACATTGAGCTATTTGAATCATCTCAGAGTTATGATATTTCGATTATATTGCATTATATATGAGCGTTCGTGACGAAACTTAACTAAACGCGTGCTTGTGGTAAAAAGAATTGTGAATGGTTGAAAACGCGATCGTATAAAAAAACAATGAATGTAAGTCTGCACGTTTTAGCTGAACAACACAATCACGACTCGAACTTTGTACTGATTGCGGAAAACGACTGTGTTTTCCTTTTGCTTTGAATCACAGATTCGTTCCACTCACGAATCAATTTGAAAAAAAGCCAAAACACGTTTGTCTTGTAGCTGCTCATTTTAAAATAATTTTTCTCCTACGAGTGATAAATAGCGAGAGTCTAAACACATAATCTACAATTACAAACGGTGGCTTGGTAAAAAAAAAAAAAATGAAACATCGATCGGTTAGTACCTGATGTAGATAAAGAGTTGTGAAGTTATGCACGTTTTATCACTTGACCTGAAATAAAATGTCCGTATCGATTTATGACTATTTCAATATGTTTATTTATTTATATATATTTTTTTGGCTTGTAAACCCAAAAGGAAATAATTGACTGGGCGTTTTTGCACGGGGTCGGTCAATTTGCATGGCATTTGTGTTTGTTTGCACGCTTTTTAATCGTGACTATCGGAATATGACTATCTGTATCATTGTTTCCTCCCCTAAATTTTCGTTGGATATATAACTACTATTATTGAACTGAGGAATAAAATATGTGATATTATCAAAAGGACTGTTCAGAGGAGATTTTAGACCATAAGAATGGAGTTTGGTGTTAAACAAGGTAGTTTTCGTTCACTTGAAGTCTGTGAAGGTTGGTAAAAATTGTGATGGAATACTTTTAAAATACGTAGATCATCAGTTAAACATGACGCGAAGCAATTGTCGGAAAATTACACCAAAAGCTGTTTCGGAACAGTTGTCATCGCCACAACCACTGCGAAACATAGGACTCCTACAACAAGCCGTCCCCAAGTGCGCCTAGCTGCAAGAGGTTAATCAATGGTTACAGGATTAAGGGCCCGGTGGATCGGGCTGGCCCGGTTACCGAGACCTCGCCTCACTCCTATTTCATGTCTAAAAATTTCGATGTGTTCATTTGAGAAGGCGGGCCTAACCGAGATCTCGGCAGCTGAGATGAAAATTTTCCCATATGAACCCTGCAGCCCGGGTAACCGGGAAGAAACGTTTTTATGCAAAATAGCTTGGCTTTCGCATTATGGCGGCCAAAATGGCATAATGTTTTTCTTGTATGTCTACGTGTTTCCACTTTACAAGAGTCAACAAAGGCTACGATAGTCGCAAACGATACAACTTATTGTGGCACCAGTTTGCTTTTTGTTTCTTGAATTTCATCCCGGTCGACGGGAAAATGTGTTGTGGGATTCATGCTCAGTCGGTTTAATATGGGAGGAAGAGAGCGTGGTTTTGTCTTAGTTTCATCGCTAAACAGAATTAATCCCTAGAGTAAAAAAAATGCACTAGAGTAAACAAAATAACAAATATCTACATAACGGAACAGCGGAAAGGACAACACAAACACAAAACGGCAGAATAATTACCAGTAGCTAAAAGAATCTAATTTAAAATCATTATCCGCGTTTATCGGTCAACATTTGCAGTTATGTCATAAATTTTGCAATGTTCTCGGCTCGGAGACTTTTGGCGCGAAACTGTTTTATTGTTAGATGTCATGTGACCTCGAACTTCGAAATAGCCAATGAGAGTGCGTGTAGCTTGCGACTATACAACTACAGGAAGAGAGCAAATCTTCGCATATTGCAGAACAGAATACAGAATTTCAACTTATATCCAAGCCCAGACGACGTATTGCCTTAAACTTTCGTTCATGGTGGAGGAGGTGACAGCCCGTCAGAGTGGAACGTATTTAGAGGGCACCAGGGGGCTCTGAAGGCCTGGCACGAATCTCAATCAATTTTACTAGCTTCTGAGATCTTCACATTCGTGGTCACCTTCTCAGACTTTATCTTCGAGTACAACAGATTCCTGTCTTAAGCTATGATCAGGCTTTTGCGAGAAAAATAGAATGCCCGATTGCAATTAAATTACTCTGTCGCATTTCGGGAGCCAATGCCTCGTTGAAAATAGCTCGATCGTAGAGAAATTTGAGGAAATTTATAGAAAACTTTACCTAGATTAACTGCTTACTTGCCGCGCACCATGACGTTCGATACAACACAAGCTCACTAGGAATCTTGTAGCCTTCGTTTTGAAGATAGCTGGCGATTATAAAGGTCCGGTAAAACACTATGGTTGCTGCGACATGCCCCCAGTACATTTTCTTTCGTGCATGAAACATGTACACGACGTCAGTTCCCTGCTACAAAACATGTCCCTTCGCAGAACAATACATGATTTGGGAACTGTCGACAGTCATGGACCTAATGAACGATCAGGCGTTCTTTCTTTTTCGCTGTCGGGTCGCGAAAAAAAAAAAAAAAATAATAGAACGCCTGATCACCAGTGGCCTCGCAAGGATGCAATGTACGTGATTTCAGCTGGTTTCATAGCCTTTCATGTCTGACATGTGCCGCTGGCCGGTAGACCGGTCCATACTTCACATGTACATTTCAAACCTTGTTATGTTATGTTAGATCGCGCTTAGAGAAAGAAATACTAATTCCAATACAAGGACCACTAGAAAAAAAAAACAGATGAAAATTTTAGCCGGTTGTTTGTATAAAACATACCAGGTTTTCAAATTGTTTAAAAAATGTCCCTTAAATTGGCTTAAACTATGAAGGTGAGACGAAACTAGCGATAAGGGGTTAAGGAAGAGAAATGAAAACAAAGTAAGCTAGACAAGAAAAGAAGCCTTGTTGGTTAATATCCCGCAGACTTATATATTTTCATTCTTGTCTTTCAAAAAAGAAAAGTTATACCCCACGTCATGGATGAAGTTCAAAGTATCAAAGAGCGATCTATTTTTGTTTCTGACCGCGCGTGGGTAATGTATCCAATTAATTTTGATCCCGAGCATGTTGAATGAAAAAGGACTTTGCTGGACAACACGTTTTACCTCAGTGAGTGGATAGCAGTTGTACAAGCTGTCTTTTATCTCGTTCTACGCCACTGGTCTCATGCGAAATCTGTTTCCTTATATCACCTGATCCAAAGTTTCGGCCACACCCTTGCATTATGAAGGCCCTAGGGTGAAAAATGACAATGAATATAAAGTGTACTGACGTGTATTGACACGTTATTAAAATCACTTGCTCATTTCATTTGGTTCATGTTATTATGACGTTGGTGTTACCGAGTAAAAGAAGTGAAGCACGTTTTGCCAGTCAACAACAGAACATGTCATACCTCCCGTGATGATATTGATCACAGGCCCTGAAGACACTCATGATTTATTAGAAACCTACACGCAAATATTTAATGCCCTCTCTTGCCTTCATTGGTTGTAAGAAGGCCTTACATGTCCACGCTGCATGGCGCTACAAGAACGGACAATGATAATGATGTGGTTTACAAGTGTACTTCGTTAGAACACTTTAAAAATAATTTCTAAGGTTCTTCTCGTCTCGTGTGTGACTTCAAGGTGTACCGCAAAGATCTCTGTGGTTTATAGAGACGGGAATGTCACGGTTTGCTGGAGAAACGGCTAAAATACATTTGTTCTTTTTTATATCGATAGAGTAACAGGTGATCAACCTTTCGTGGCTCCTGGCCTGGTTATATTATGAAAGTCGTTATTCGCAGATATCATGCGAGACTTATGGCGCCAAAGCCATCACGTTGACATTTTTAAACTTGTTTTACGTGCAAGTTGGAATTGATAGCAATTGAAAGCGTATGATCCAGTGAAAGGAACCCATTAAATAAGTTGTGTGTTTATGTGTAATTAGGCTACCTCAAGAACAAAGNTTTTTTTTTTTTTTTTTTCATTTGACCTGAAATAAAATGTCGGTATAGATTAATGACTATTTAGATATGTTTATTTATTTTTTTTTATTTTTTGGCTTTTAAACCCAAAAGGAAATAATTGACTGATGGACAGGGTCGTCTGGAAGGGCTGAAAAGGAACTGGCTGAGAGTGAAGAGGCCGAGGGGGGAATGGGGTTGATCTCTGAATCTTTTCACACAAACAGCTAACAGTATATGAAACAGCATTTAAAATTGTCCTTGGCTAACAGCGCTGGTAGCGAGGGAAGTTTCAGTTTCGATTTTTGAATTTAAAATAACAATGATTGAAGTTTCCCACTGTTGCGTTCATTTTGTGAATGTCTTTTGGAAAAATTCTTTGTCTACCTGAATGCCACGTACAGTCGAACCTCCCGTAAGCGACCACCCATGTCTCAGTCAGGCCATGTGTCGTTTAGTAGCGCCTTTGGTTAGGACATTATTCAAACAAAAAGCATTAATTATAGACATATAATCTGCTTCTGCGTGTGTTTCGTATATGCTAGCTTGTGCTCGAGCTTGAGCGCTTAAACGGTGCTAAAACGGCCATCTGATGGACATAATAGGGAAAGGTTGATGGACATCACGGCATATTCATTTCTTTTGTTTGTGTTCTCTGTGCCTCGCTATGAAGCTTAATTCTAACATCCTGTAATATAATGAAAGTAGCCTGTTCAACCACAACGCTGAATGTTCCAGAGCCGTAAGGAACTTGAAGTTTTTGCTCTGTACTTAAGACGTATCGAGTCGCGATCGACCGAGGTATGGCAGTAGCCGTTATTTCCGTTAAATGCCTGGCTTCGTTTGTCCTGATTGCCTTCTCGTTAGTCGCTGTGAGAGATGGCTGTACTTCCGGCGCTAATTGCAATCAGTCCCTCGACGAAATCTGTTCCAACAATGAATGTGTTCAAAGAACAAGCGGTTGTTGCTCTAAAGGTTTAGATTGTCTTGACAGTGAAAGCTGCTGTAATCACAAGTGCAAAGTAGACAGTGACGATGGAGATAACGGCAAAACAGTCATGATAGTACTGGGAGTAACTGGAGGAATCTTGTTCATCATCTGGGTAGCCTTCTGCATTCGCTATTATCGGAAGCGTCGCCTAAGGTACATACTAATAATAGAAGAAGAGAATAGGGAGATCACCGCACTGAGCAACTCAAACAACGCGGGACAACCACCGTCCTACCGACAAGGGTACTCGTCAGCTCCTCCTCCATATACCCTCCTTCCACAACAGCTTTAGAGGAAAGATCAGGGGGGCTGAGCTCTCGTCAACCTTCGTATGGTACTGTACAGAAAGCAGGATTCGTGTGAACTTAACGTATTAAAGGATTCAACATGCACAACTTGAAGTGATCATGGACAAGTTATGATAACCATTTTACATGTCATACGATGAGTATTAAAAAAATGATCTTTTACGTTTCAACAAAGTTACATTGGATGATGAGTATTTCTCGGGGGGTGCCTCCAATATTTTTAGGGGTTAAAAAAGCAGATTTGGTACCTCTCAGGGTGTTCAACCTCAAAAGGTTCACAGCGGGAACTTTTTGCGATACCTTTTCGTGTATTGAGCTGAAAAAAACTATGGTAGGAGATAATTTGTTGTTCTAGAATTGGTACCTCTTAGGGGAGGAAAATATTTCAAGCCACGCCCACCAAACAGGATCTTGGCTTGAAATTAGTCGCCGTCGCTCGCGTTCTCCAAAATGCACAGAACTCACGGTGCGTCCACACTAACGCCGGAGAAATTTGAAAAGGAGGTTTCAGTCTGAAAACGCATCAAATGTTTTTCGTCCGCGATCCATACTACGCCGGAGAAATTTGAAAACGCAACAATCACGTGCACAGCCATTGTTCTACTCATTAAACCTTCTCGTTGCCATTGCGGTCGTGGTGTGCTTTGCTTTCTATTGCAACGTCAAAGCGATGGTCAGCGAAAGCCTGAACACTAGATTGTTAATCACTTTCTGATCAGAATTGCTGATTCATGGGGTGTCCAAGGAAAACATACAATGTCAATAGCATATGTTAACTTAATTAATGAAATATACAGTGTGCCATTTTGCACGCTCCGCAGGCCGGCCGGCGTTTACCACGCCGGTTATACGTGCGACACGTTTATTGACTAGCCCATTGTTCCTTAGTTATATAACAATGTCAACAATCCAAACATTGAGCTATTTGAATCATCTCAGAGTTATGATATTTCGATTATATTGCATTATATATGAGCGTTCGTGACGAAACTTAACTAAACGCGTGCTTGTGGTAAAAAGAATTGTGAATGGTTGAAAACGCGATCGTATAAAAAAACAATGAATGTAAGTCTGCACGTTTTAGCTGAACAACACAATCACGACTCGAACTTTGTACTGATTGCGGAAAACGACTGTGTTTTCCTTTTGCTTTGAATCACAGATTCGTTCCACTCACGAATCAATTTGAAAAAAAGCCAAAACACGTTTGTCTTGTAGCTGCTCATTTTAAAATAATTTTTCTCCTACGAGTGATAAATAGCGAGAGTCTAAACACATAATCTACAATTACAAACGGTGGCTTGGTAAAAAAAAAAAAAATGAAACATCGATCGGTTAGTACCTGATGTAGATAAAGAGTTGTGAAGTTATGCACGTTTTATCACTTGACCTGAAATAAAATGTCCGTATCGATTTATGACTATTTCAATATGTTTATTTATTTATATATATTTTTTTGGCTTGTAAACCCAAAAGGAAATAATTGACTGGGCGTTTTTGCACGGGGTCGGTCAATTTGCATGGCATTTGTGTTTGTTTGCACGCTTTTTAATCGTGACTATCGGAATATGACTATCTGTATCATTGTTTCCTCCCCTAAATTTTCGTTGGATATATAACTACTATTATTGAACTGAGGAATAAAATATGTGATATTATCAAAAGGACTGTTCAGAGGAGATTTTAGACCATAAGAATGGAGTTTGGTGTTAAACAAGGTAGTTTTCGTTCACTTGAAGTCTGTGAAGGTTGGTAAAAATTGTGATGGAATACTTTTAAAATACGTAGATCATCAGTTAAACATGACGCGAAGCAATTGTCGGAAAATTACACCAAAAGCTGTTTCGGAACAGTTGTCATCGCCACAACCACTGCGAAACATAGGACTCCTACAACAAGCCGTCCCCAAGTGCGCCTAGCTGCAAGAGGTTAATCAATGGTTACAGGATTAAGGGCCCGGTGGATCGGGCTGGCCCGGTTACCGAGACCTCGCCTCACTCCTATTTCATGTCTAAAAATTTCGATGTGTTCATTTGAGAAGGCGGGCCTAACCGAGATCTCGGCAGCTGAGATGAAAATTTTCCCATATGAACCCTGCAGCCCGGGTAACCGGGAAGAAACGTTTTTATGCAAAATAGCTTGGCTTTCGCATTATGGCGGCCAAAATGGCATAATGTTTTTCTTGTATGTCTACGTGTTTCCACTTTACAAGAGTCAACAAAGGCTACGATAGTCGCAAACGATACAACTTATTGTGGCACCAGTTTGCTTTTTGTTTCTTGAATTTCATCCCGGTCGACGGGAAAATGTGTTGTGGGATTCATGCTCAGTCGGTTTAATATGGGAGGAAGAGAGCGTGGTTTTGTCTTAGTTTCATCGCTAAACAGAATTAATCCCTAGAGTAAAAAAAATGCACTAGAGTAAACAAAATAACAAATATCTACATAACGGAACAGCGGAAAGGACAACACAAACACAAAACGGCAGAATAATTACCAGTAGCTAAAAGAATCTAATTTAAAATCATTATCCGCGTTTATCGGTCAACATTTGCAGTTATGTCATAAATTTTGCAATGTTCTCGGCTCGGAGACTTTTGGCGCGAAACTGTTTTATTGTTAGATGTCATGTGACCTCGAACTTCGAAATAGCCAATGAGAGTGCGTGTAGCTTGCGACTATACAACTACAGGAAGAGAGCAAATCTTCGCATATTGCAGAACAGAATACAGAATTTCAACTTATATCCAAGCCCAGACGACGTATTGCCTTAAACTTTCGTTCATGGTGGAGGAGGTGACAGCCCGTCAGAGTGGAACGTATTTAGAGGGCACCAGGGGGCTCTGAAGGCCTGGCACGAATCTCAATCAATTTTACTAGCTTCTGAGATCTTCACATTCGTGGTCACCTTCTCAGACTTTATCTTCGAGTACAACAGATTCCTGTCTTAAGCTATGATCAGGCTTTTGCGAGAAAAATAGAATGCCCGATTGCAATT